TTGGAAGCTCTCTTTTCATTTTCATGAGACTTTCTTTTCCTCGCTGCAGCCTTGGCTCTTTTGATTGTAATCTGGTCCTCTGTTGGCGGAGATTTCTTTGTGTGAGCCATACTGCTGCCATATGCGATAGGCAACAATAAACAACAGGAAAACTCAAAATTGATCGCTGCATTTAAATATTTCATTTATATTTAAGCTCACCTTCAACGATAATTTTTCTGCCGTCCATTAATTTAAAGACAATTTGATGTACGTAAAAAATGTTTCGTAAAAAAAATTAATTTTATTTAATGGATGACTTTCTCCGGATTTCGAAAATTTATTTCTATTATTCCTAGATTTATTTCCAAGTTATAAAAATTGTTATTGTACAAAAAAAGTGTGTTGCAAAAAAAATTACATAAAAGTTGCCAAAAAACAATCACAGTAATGAAAACTTGGGAATCCAAAATCTCTGTAACATGAGCTATTGAAAGTTAGAGAGTTGTTTCCCTTTAAAAGAAAAAAGTGTGACACACTGACATATAATATACTTTTATTAAATCTAGAATTATTTTGACGCACCCTGTACCAACGTTTTTTTTAATTTTCATTATTTTTTTTTCTTTCGATTGTAATTTTTAACATGTTTCTGTTTTCCCCATGCTATACTCTCGAGATTGCCATGTCAACAAAATCGTTACTTGGATTCCCAGTTACTAGTTCTTTAAGGACCCTTAGGAAACATTAATGGTAACGTCAAGAGGCAGCTACTCGATATTGTTCCCAGGGGTGTTTGCAATTTTTTTCAAAGTTTATTTTTTTTTTTACTGTTCGGACAATTTTTCTAGTATTATTTTTTTTTTATTATTTATAATTATTTGCCGGATTTCTTGTTATACTGTGTCATTGCGTTGTGTTCAAATAATTTCTTGGAAACAAAAATAAATAAATGGTCCGAACTGTAGAAAAATTAACTAAAAAACGCTTCAACAAAGATCTCTCGTTGGTTTTTGTTGAAACTTGACTAATGCATGGAATAATAATGCAACACAAAATGTACTTAGAACAAAATGTATTGAAACAAGAAAGTGTACACAATATTTACATATAGTCTTTTGTAGATTCCTGGTAAGACCGTTCCTGGAGAATATGTTGACTGAGTCGCAGTTGGGCAGAGTCTCTGATTGAATCTCTTGATTCCTGTATTTATCTATCCACCCACGAGGATAAAATGTGGCACAAGGCCGGTTTAAAGTGGGTATCTCCGAGCCCGTAATTAAATAAAAAATATGGCCTTTCTGAACCCGCCTAGATGGGGTTCAAGGCCTGTCTACCACCCCTGACAAAACCCTGCCTGTCGGCAAAGCCTCGTCTGGGTCCCTCACTGCAAAATGCAGAGAGTTCGACTGAGAGTGAATGTCTTGATTCCTCCCTCTCTTCCCGGTACCAACCATATTTATATGGTCGGTACACCACTATGCAAATTAGGTGGATCCTACCACAACAGTTTTCAAATAAACTTACATGATAAATTGCTTGCAAATACAACCAATAATTTAATATTAACTTTTTTTATTGTATTTCTCCAATTTTCGATCAATTAGTTGTACGTCTGGAATAAACTCCTTTTATTCTTTCTGTATTACTTGTGGTAATTTCGACCGACTTGGGCATTATTAAACCTTTTTAGCCCTGGCTACCGCTTTACCGGTTGTAGAGAAAAATGACGTCATGCCGAGCCACCGTTTAACTGGTGGCTGGGCATGACGTCATTTGTAACTATTTTGATATCTACCGTGAAACATTACATAGAAATGATTTGCGAATTTTGACTCCGGAGTTCAGGCAGAAAGATTCAAATTGTTCAGGAACTCAAATGGTTAACAGCTAAACATTTTCAGTAGTATACATAATTCCATTTTCAGAAACATTCCATTATAAATTTAAATTATTTTTTTGATCATTTCACTCGAAGCAAGGAAATAAAGCCACTAAGACGCAAGGGATTACCAAGTGTTAGAGAATATGAGAAAAGAAAACATTATTAAGGAGAGAGAACAATACACGAACACGAATTAAGAAGAGAGAAAACAACGATTGGCATTTAAATTTTGGAAGACCGAAGTTGTACTGGGAACCAAGAACCGGGAAGAGAGTTTCACAAGCGAGAAGTGCGAGAGAAGAAACTCTCAGTATAGAACTTTCGGTTGCGTCTAGCAATTCCAGCAAATAAATGGTGAGACCTTGACACCAATCTAGTATTTCGCTTAGAATTATAGAATCTATGTTCCATTGAAGAAAGTACACCAGAACAATTACCATGAAAATATTTACAAAAACGACACAGGGAAGCTACGATACGGAGTGGAAAAGTGAATAAAGCCGAGATGCCAAGTGGGGAATAATAAGATTGCAGAATCAAATATACGTGCAAAGTATAAGTGACATAATGTCTCATTTTGTCGAAGAAGGCAATTATTTCTTAAAATCAATAATCAAAAAAAAAAAAATAATAATCTTACATTGGTTACGAAAACATTACACTCTCTCGTACTTTAACTTGGAACTTATCAAAACAGCACAATTCATAGCAAATACTATAAGGCACTCGCTGCAAAGAAAAACTTTTAATACTCAGTTATTATTACCCACACAAAATAAAATATCTTTCTTAAGGGTTTTTTTTAAAATGCGCATATAATATATACGTGTAGGACACCTCTGGTGTAATGGTTAGCAGGCTTGTCTCGCCAGAACAATTACGACTGAGTAGTGAGTTCGAACTGAGTGTTCCATACTTTCGGCCTTGTGTCACATTTAACCTACGCTTGGATAATCACCATGGTGATGACAGGGGCACTTCGAGGCGATGTAATGGTTACCAAGCGTATCTCGCTAGAACAATTACGACTGAGTAGTGAGTTCGATCTTCACAGGGTACTCCATACTTTCGGCCTTGTGTCACATCTAAGCTACGCTTGGAAAATCAGTATAATATATACGTGTTTAGTATGTGACATAATGGATCATTTTGGTGGAGAAATCAAAGAATCGTTAAATGTTGATAAGTTCTTATTTAAAAATTTGTAAATGCCCACAATTGCGTATAAAAAACTTTATCTTCGGAACATTTAACCGTAGAGGACTTATGAAAAAATAAAATCAGGAATTATTTGCTCGGCAGGTTTCTCGTTATAACACTGATGTATAGTGTCTCCAAGAACCAAAATTTAAAAAAGTAATTGATATAAATATCGGAGTTAGACAGCACAAGTTAAAAGATTTAGAAACTGTTGTTGTAAGATCCACTTACCCGCCTTACTATCAGGAATGAACTGATCCATTGATAATACACTACAATATTAAATCATCTGAAATATACATTGGAAGTAAATGTTCAAGTCAAACACTTAAAAATGCAGGACTTGAAAGCAGTAATATTGGAATTAATAAAACAATAGCAAGAAAAAAAAATGGAGTAAATTGTCAATGCCTAAATATTGTAAAATAAAGAATATAAAGATTATACACCACTTATGATAGTATCATAAACAGGGAATGTGAAATGTTGAAGTTAAGCGAACAAACACCCAATATGTTACAGATGCAGTGAACTACATTTCATTTCAGCTCTTGGAGATGCCAGACTCTGTCAAAGAAAAACAATAGCAAAAACAATGACAACCAGAACAAGAACAGCAACAACAAGAACAGCAACAACAAGAACAGCAACCATTGTTGAGATAACAAGAACAACAGTAAAAGTATTAGAACATTTTATAAAGAGTAAAAGTATTGAAAACATGTCTACTTTTTTCTCACAGGAGTTAGTAGTAAATGCAATTGGCAAATTTAAATATAATCCTGAAGAGGTTATATTTACAGAATACTACAGACTCTATGAGGAAATCTTTAAAAAAGACTGTATAAGATGGTCTAGTGAGAAAAATGTGTGCGAGTTACTAAGAAAGTGAGGGCCCACAGACCACAAAAAATACATAAATTACATCCTGCTGAAAAAATGAAGTGAATTGTCACTTGAGGAAACTATTGTTTATAAAAATTTTCAGTGAATGAAGTTCATTGTTCAATTCACTTTGGCAATGCCTAAATATTGTAAAATAAAGAATATGAAGATTATACACCACTTATGATAGTATCATAAACAGGGAATGTGAAATGTTGAAGTTAAATATCAAGAATGAAATAACAACACTGTAATGTATCTTCATTAGTTCCAGACATAAAACTAAATATTTCCTTAATTTGAAGTATCAGACAAAAGACATAATCACCTAAAAACATATTGTCTGTAATGGAACAGTGATAAGGAAGGTTAAGTCATCAATACAAATGGAACAAATATCATAAATGTAATGGTATATATCTGTTGTTGTAAGATCCAGTTACCCGCCTTGCTATCATGAATGGACTGATCCATTGATAATACAATCGTCCTGGATAATTCTCTAGGAGGAAGAACATCATAGTATTGCAGTGACTTGTCTCACAGAGTATTGAATACTACTATCATAACTGAATCTGGTTAACTAAGTTTTCTTTCCTGCCAGAATCAATATCATAACAGTTGATGATGAGGATGATACATTATTTATAATAATAGTGGTGGACAAAAATTCAAATTTTTGTAACCTGTGAAATCAGTATGTAGAAAAACAAAAGTATGCTGGAAACAAGAGTACATTAAATCATCTGAAATATACATTGGAAGTAAATTTTCAAGTCAAACAATTATTTAAAGTTTTTTTTTGCAGTGAGTACCCTATAATATTTGGTACGAATTGTGCTGTTTTGATAAATGTCAAGTTAGTGTATGAGAGAGTGTAATGTTTTCGTAACCAATGTAAGATTTTTTTTTTGATTATTGGTTTTGGGTGTCAAGGCTCCCAAACTGTACGAGAATCGAGGAACAAAATCTTTTTTTTTTTTTTTTTTTTACATCGACTGTCTTGCATTTACAGCTTAAAGTTCGGCTCTGGTTATGAGTTTGGAAATACTTGGAATAACCACGTAGCTAAGAGCTCGTCTTTCGGTAGCGAAAACTTGTCAGCGCCGCTTGGTGTCCTACTCTCTGGTAAAGTATATCGCAAAGAGAAAAAAATGAACGGGATAGGCAGGCATATCGTATGAGATTTTCCCACAGGCATCAGATCAAAACCATTTTTCAGGGCAGTGCACATTTAGCTGCATATGTGTGCGCACACATACACACACACATAGCTATAGTTACACACAGGCAGACAAACATACACATCACACACAAACGCATACATATACACGTGTTGGTGTTGAAAGGTTCTGAACACAATAAGGAGTCCTAAAATGAACACGCGATTCCACGTATTTACATCGCTTGTCGTTACTTAATTTTATATGAATTTAAAAAAATAATAATAATAAAATAAAATAAATAATTTTTTAAAATCATTTCACCCGAAGCAAGGCGATAAAGTCACTAAGGCTCAAGAAGAGGTTACTGAAAGTAAGACAAACTCAGAAAACGATTATTGAGGAGAATGGCCCACAGAGGAATAGGATTCAAAGAGACAGACGACAACGTTTAACGCTGTCTTTCAATTTTTGAAGATTGTAGTTATATATTAAAAAAAAAACCGTTATAATTACATATATATTTTAATTGAAACTGAATCTTTTAAGATGAAATTATGGTTTGACTTTGTTTTGCTAATGACCCCCTTTTTGTGTTCTTTCAAATTTCTTGATGTTTCACCAGTGTTTCTTGAAATATTTTACAGTTTACTTTCTAAAATCCTGCTCCAGACTTAATTGTGATGTTTTTTTCATTCTTTAAGTCTTTGGTTAGTTCTGCTTAAATACCGTTTTGCACTTGCAATTTTTTCTTTATACAATGTTTTTCTAAAATTAAAAAAGCGTTTCAATATTTGTGATTATTTTATTTATATACAACTATTTCCCAAAATTTTCTTGTTTCCCGTATTTGCTTTTTTGTTTTGTACATAACATTCTACATATTTTAAAAAATAAACGTTAATTTTTTTCAGCTTCTAAAACACGTAATGCACATAAATGTTTATATATATATATATATATATATATATATATATATATATATATATATATATATATATATGTTCCAAAGGTTGTCATATCTGGAGGTAATTGTAGGGACAAACACCCACTGTCTATAAAATACTTCCTCGGTACGTGCCTCAAATAGCCTCTGACAACGAAATGCAGCTCCTAACCTTCATGGCTAAGACTCGCCATACCCACACATTGTAGCGAACAACCTTCATTCCCTTCCTATCCCCCCTGGTGAGATGTAAGTTCCACTCAAGCTCCTTCTTCCCCGGAACCCATACATTGTGGAACCGACTCTCAAGAGGCTGCTTCCCCGATCACTACAATCTTTACATGTTCAAGTTTAGGGGTAACCGTTACTTTCGTTAATATCCGCATAAACTGTTCCTCTTGCTCTGAAAACCCTCTACCTCGAGTGGCTCCGGGGCCGTGTACAGGGTGAGCCCTCTGTAAGAAAAAAAATTAAAAAACTTGCACTACATATTAGCTTTAAGAATTACATATATTTTAAATTAAAACTGTATCTTTCAAGTTGAAATTATGGTTTGATTTAAATTTTTAGATGTTTCACCAGTGAAACATTTTACAGTTTATTTTGTAAAATCCTGCTCCAGACTTAATGGTGTTGGATTTTTCGTCTGTTAATTCGTTGATTAGTTATAATTAAATACCAGTTTGTACTTTCATTTTTTTCTTTCTGCAATCTTTTTCTAAAATTAAAAAACGTTTCAATATTTGTGTTTTTCTTTTTATTTATCTACAACTATTTCCTAAATTTTCTTGCTTCTCGTATTTGCCTTTTGTGTACATAACATTCGACATATTTAAAGAAACCGTTAAATTTTTTTAGCATCTAAAACACGTCATATACATGTTTATATACTTACATTATATATGTTCCAAAGGTTGTCATATTTGCGGGTAATTGTGGGGACAAGCACCCAGTGTCTATAAAATACTTCCTCGGTATGTGTCTCAAATAGCCTCTGACAACTAAATGCAAATCCTATCATTCACGGCTAAGACTCGCCATACACCGCACATTGCATTGCAACCTTCATTCCCTTCCTATCCCCCCTGGTGAGATGTAAGTTCCACTCAAGCTCCTTCTTCTCACCAACCCCTACATTGTGGAACCGACTCCCAAGAGGCTGCTTCCCCGATCGCTATAATCTTTACATGATCAAGTTTAGGGGTAATCGTTATCTTCCGCACATATTCGCATAAAATGTTCTTCTGACTCTATAACAATTTTACATCGAGTGGTCCCTGGGCCGTGTGCAGGGTGATCCCGCTCTAAAAAATAATTAAAGAAAAACTTTCACTAAATATTAGCTTTAAGAATTACATATATTTTCTAAATTAAAACTGTTTCCTTCAAGTTGAAAGTATGGCTTGACTTCTTACAATTGACAACTCATGCTGTGAGTGTTT